GTCGTCTCAGGACCCGGTTTAGGCTCCAATTCTCCCCCCAAAATATGTTTTTTCTTTGTTTTTTGCTCAGACTTTTGTTCCCATCTGATGTTTCTGTGTGTTTCCTTCCAGGTTGACAGAAAACATGAGGCGACTCAGTGAGTAGAACCCTAATCCTAACCCTAACCCTAACCCTAACCCTGACCATAACCCTGACCCTGACCCTAATTTATCCCTAATCCTAACCCTATCCCTGACCATAATCCTGACCATAACCCTAATCCTAACCCAAACCCTGACCCTGACCATAACCCTAACCCGAATCCTAACCCTGACCCTGACCATAACCATAACCCTAACCCTGACCCTAATTTATCCCTAATCCTAACCCTATACCTGATCATATTCCTGACCATAACCCTAATCCTAACCCTGACCATAACCCTAATCCTAACCTGACCCTGACCCTAACCCTAACCCTGACCCTAACCCAAACCCTGACCCTGACCATAACCCTAACCCTGACCCTAACCCTGACCCTGACACGAACCCTAATCCTAACGCTGGCCCTAAACCTAACCCTAACCCTGATCCTAATCCTGACCCCTTATCCTAAACCTGACCCTGACCCTAACCCTGACCCTAACCCTGACCCTAACCCTGACAATAACCCTAATCCTAACCCTTACCCTGACCCTAAACCTGACCCTAATCCTGACCCTAACCCTAACGAATAAAACAACCACAAACTGGTGTTTTATCACAAGAAAACCCACATTAAGTGTGAGTTTTATGACAGGAACCTCACAAATATCCCAAACCTTCCTGTTTCAGAGCGGGGCGCCCGGCCTGTCACCAACTTTTTAAGGAACCTGTCGGCCTTATCCAACTGGCACTCCGTCTACACCTCAGCTATTGCCTTCATTGTGAGTGTTCACTTCCAGTTTACAGCTCATTGTCTGATGTTTCCATAAAAATGTGAAATTCTACAGAACCAGACACATTAACGACACCAACCGGCCTCAGTTAAAGATGAATATTTCCCCAGAAAAGGTTTATTTAATATTTAATAT